CAGCTGTACACGTGCATTTGTTAAGATTGTACTTATGATCAAAAACTAGGAAGTGCAGAACTTTGCTAACACAGCCAAACATCAGGCAAGTGTAACAACACAAGGCATAGCAAGCCAGCTAATATCCCTGACTAGTCCAACAGCAAGAAGGCCAGCTCGCTCGACACTAAATGATCTTGATTGATCATTCGCTTGTTTCTCTTCTTAGCTTCTTTTGTTAGTGTCCTCTTTGGTCTCTTCCCCTTTGCCATGATGTCCATAGGGGCTGCTGAGCCCTGTTACGTTGCTCATTCCCAGTCCCTCTCCATCTCCATTTCCCCCAACCCTGGCCTGAAAACCTCCTGCTCCCAGTGGTCCAAAGCTCCCATGCTAGCATTGTAAACACATAGATCACATGTCCTCTATGGTAGTGCCACCCTTAGGACAAACTTTATAGTATGCTGGTAATGATTTAAAAACAGCAAAGTTGTCTATACTGTAGTAGTATGTCTACTATATATACTATCCATTTTTCATCTATTCAACAAATACGTTTTCTGAAGCGTAACGAGCGTGACAGCCTCACAGGTTTTCAAGCCACAAATTTATTTTTGTCCTTTGGCATCCCAAACATGTGCCCATTTGACTGTTGAAGGACATTATAATGTCATATATTTCCTGTGCAGGTATGTCGAGCAGAAGGCATTTATAAAAATGTTAAACGACACTGCCATCTGAGCCAGAGGAGGGACTGTTGATGGATGGCTCGGAACGCAGCAGGAGATCCTGGACGTGACGCTTTGATCAATGTGTCTGTCCACACAGCCAGTCAGGAGATGTAGTGCCTGCCATGTTCAGACCCCATTGTTTAATCCAACATATCATTTGCACGCAGGCGAAGGTTAACGAGACAGAGATAACCCATTAAACGACCAATTTATCATTTTGAATTTATCTCCAATTTTGATCTTTTCTATACCAAAAATCACGCACACTTATACACAGATAAAAATGGACATGCATCCACTTACAAGCACGTCTACAAACACTCCAAAACTTCTGGTAAAAGCCTTTAGGAGTAGGAGTATTTTTTTTTTATTCCTTCTACTTTCCTCCTTGTGTAATTTGTCTGCTTTTATCTCAGCTGAGGGATTGAGCTGGCTTTTGGGTGCATGTTTAGATAGCCCGGACATCCATTATCAGTCCGAGGCAAACCCGATTTAGAACCTCAGTAAAAGAATTACTCAGGAGGAGAGGAGAGCGCCGTGATTCTGTCACCTTCTCTTCCACCCTCGGTTCCCATCGCTGCTCTTTAATTGGGCTGCTAATCAATTAAGGCCTGTGTGCAAAAAGATCGTCTCAGCCAAGTGCATAAATGAGGCTGACAGTTGGAGCTGTGAGACACACAGAGGTGACTAAACAGAACACATTTTACATCAGTGTCTCATATCCTGCTCGTCATAATCTATGCTCAACAAACATTTGCGAACTTACCCCACATGTGCAGCTGTTTACCTTGAACTTGTTTCACTGAGACCCCAGAGGATTATTCATTTAGACCCTGGTTAATGTGCTCAAGATCACCACTGGGTGTGTTCTGTGCTAAAACTTCCAAATGGAAAATGAAGAGTGAAAAGAGTCTACGACTTAAGTTAGTAGCTTTATCAGCAGGGACGGCTGGTATACATGGGCTAACAGGGCTAAGCCCTCCCTACCTTTTACAGTAAAAATGAAAAACTATTAGTATAAAACCTTTGAACATATTGTTTTAAATTTTGGTAGAACCTAGAGCAGCAACAGCACCAAAAAGTGACAGAAAAAACCCTGGATATATGATATATCTTGGGTTTTTCCTGTAAATGGGAAATTCAGAGGAGAGAGAGAGAGAGAGAGAGAGAGAGAGAGAGAGAGAGAGAGAGAGAGAGAGAGATTTTCGGCATCAGGCCATTCTTTTGGGTATGTCTCCCCAATGTTGCCGTAGAGCACTTGCTATAACAAAGTATACAATGTTGTTGCTGTTGCTGCTGTGTGAAGTATTAATGAGTGTAATGCATTTGTTGGCCCACCCACCAGCCGTCACTGTTCATCAGCATTCATGGTATTCCTGGTATCGAGATCCGGTCCATATGCCTGGCCAACACAATCGCGAGTAGGGCTCAGCTGTCAATCATGACGTGAAACCTCTTCATAGCTTCAAATACCAAATTAAAACCAAACTTATCCAAAAATTACCACTTGAACCTTCATCAGCGCGATAAGGAGGAGGCTGTATGACCGATACTGCAGTCAGCCGCCGGGGGGCGACTGAGATGTTTTGGCTTCACCGTCGGGGAGCTGTCATGTTGTTCATCCTTTATATGTTGATAGTTTAAATCTGCTCTAAGTGGGTTTTTTGTCCACTTGGGAGAATGGTGAGAGTGAACCAAAGCAGTAAAGTTTTACTGTAAAACCGAGGACGACCCTGCGTGGTTTTCCTGGTGCCATGCCGTTGTTCTTATGACAATTATTCTGAAACCCTGATAGTCTGAAAAGCCCATTTCTCTGACTTCCCATCATTATTCATAAAACAAACACCAAGAGTCATTCCAAAGGCCTGTTATTCCAAAATTACACACTCTGTATCAACTTACTAACTTAACTGAAAGTACTTACTTATTTCATGATCTTTTATTATCTCAGTGTTAACCACATATTTATTATTGGTAGCATAATGACCATGTGACTTCGTCCTTTCCTGCACCTCCAAATACATAAAAGATAATAAGAAACTGGAAAAACAGGCCTTCGGAACAGTGGCCGTCGTTTTCAGAATAACGGGACAAATGGGCTTTCAGTTTAACTGGACATTTTTGGGGGGGTTTCAGGACAATGGGCTGTCCCCATTTTGGTGGAGCTCCTGCTTTGACACCCCCACTGTGTCGATGAATTGGCTAAACACTGCATACTTTTTCACCACTAGAGATTATTTTGTAAACCCTTGGCTAACAGGTTCCAACGGCAGGGATATAAATAAGTACATTTTAAATATTACTGCAATAAGGAACTGATATTGTACACAGTTCATTGTAATTCTCAGTGTTCCTGCTTCCCTGGACTGCTGTTAATATGACCAAGCAGCATGTGAGCTTAGACACAGTGGACTTAATTTCACAGAACCACCAGATGGGCCTTTGAGGATTCTTCTGTCAGTAAACAGGCTCTCGGTTTGGTGTCGGCGGCTCTCTCCTTGCAGCTGCAAACGTCCTGCAGCTGTTTTGTTGCCGCTCGCTTGATCATTAGGACCTGGACTCAGTGTTTGACTTTCACACTTCAGCCGTGGCAGAACATTTAAGGAGGTCTGTGACGTGTAGAGACTGACAATGCCATGAAGAATGAACGGCCATTTCCACAGTTGTTAAGACCGTTTAATAACTTAATTCTTGCAAATCAAACGGAGAGAGGCCGAGCTCCAGTGGCTGTGCCTGGCAGTGTGCCAGACTCAGCTACAGTGGTCCACCTCCTGCTTTATTCTATGAAAAGATTAGAGGGCTGCAGAACTTATTGACTCAGATTTCTCCTCCAGGTATAGAGTAATTAATGTAATTAGGCCCTCTATCTCCGCTCAGGCCTCTTATCAAAGCTGTTTCCTTATCGCTTCTGGAAATTTAATTAGAAAAATCTTTGCAATTAATGATTTTGCAAAATTAAAGTGAACTTCAACCGGTTGATTCCCTCATTAACTGTTGGCCAGAAGCATATAAAGGGAAGAGTTGGACAGCTGGACAGAGCTGGATAACATGTATGACCATTATGTAAGTATTGTACTTAAAACTCCACTAATCAATATCTTTTTATATTTACAATGAACCAGATAACATTTGTAGTATTGAACCCATCGATAATGATTAACTCTGCAGTTCGACAGGGATGTTTGTTTCGGCTCTGTGTTTTGGTTTTGTGGCACATTTCCTGTCAGTCTCTGTGTTTTTTCAACAAGCTCTTATTTAGCAAGAGAAATATATTTTTTTCAATTTGTTGGAGACCAAATCAGAGCTACAATGAGAGTGACTATTGGATGTTCAATTGTAACCAAACGTAAATTGGCAACTGTTTCTTAACACATCAGACATACAGATAATAATATGTGTCTGTCTGCTTGTTGTGAGGTTCTTCTGCCCTCTGATGGACAAAAATGGATAAATACAGCTTTAAGAAAAGGCTTAAGGTGTGATAAGTTTTCTTTTAACTAGAGCTGTTTGTAGGCTGTCTTGGTTTGTCTTTCCACTGTTTTCTCAGGCAATAATTGTGACGCACCATGTGATCAGAGCTGATAGAGTCCACCTGAGTGACTCTGTAGAGTGGACCTGTAAAGACCTCGACTTTTTATTCTACTCCATTTATTTGATGGCTGACGCTATGAGTGACATATTTTACATTCCACATGAGATAAGCTCATAAAATATAGCCAGTAGAAATCTTATATGTGACCCTGTGGAAGGCAATGTTGACCAATTTGGTCCATACTGAAATACTGTATATCAACAACTATCAGATGGGTTGCCATGAGATTTGCTGCAGATATTAAAGATCCCTTGACAATAAAACCTTGCAATGCCACAGGCGGCATTCAGCCCGCCTCAGCTCCACCTCTTTGCCCAGTTTTGGATTACCTAGGAGCTGGGAGGACTGCCAATGGCGATGGCCACAGCTGACCACACTGAGCTTCACAATGGCTCTTCAGAAACAGGATGCCACGGAGACTACCATTTTTATTCATACAGTCTATGACACAAACATGTCGGATGTAAAAGAAAATAATCAGTAAACATACCACAGTATGTAGTACCAGCTAGTGTTTTTCTTATTTCTTCATCTGGCCTTTTGTTTCACATTTACCTGCTGGTCAGTTCTGCTCATAAACACGCTCATAGTGTTTGTGTGCTGAAGTGACTCCCAGTCCTCTGCAGAGTGCTCTAGGGTGTCGGGCGTTGCAGCTCAGGGGAGGAGACAGACAGGTAACCATGGTGCAGAGAGCAAACAGGAAGCCTCAGTCAAACTGCTGTTCAGACACACAGTAAAAGGAACAAGATCCACTTGGTCGTGGAAAAGTAAACTGGAAATGAGCCAAAACTGAAAAATGGAAATGGAGTGATTGTACATGTAAGTAAAGGCTCATTAAAGACAGAAATTCATGAGCAAACTGAACACAACCTATTTTTTATGCTCTCTTTTATGCTGTGTTTTGCTTTCATGTGAAAAATAGATACAAGGCTATCACAGTAATAAAGGTCTGAGCCGCGCAGCCCTCGGTCAGCCTCTCCTGCTCTCTGTCTCTTTCTCCAGGGAACCCTGATCACCTCAGCTGCATCATGGCTCAGAAAATCACATCAAATACAGTCCCCAGACTTGTTGTCAAGATCGTAGGCAGCAAACAGGTCAAGCAGTTTATTGAGGAGCCACGAGCGTGAGTATAATGACAAGGCTGACTGTGTTTATTTATTCATTCCTCTCACAATGTCATAAACTACATATCAAAGACCCAATTCAAACCTTTAACCCATGAAAGGATGCTTGATTACAGTAAGTTGTTGATTTCTCTTCCTCTGTGAGGCACTCGGTAGCTGCCGGTTGGCAACAAATATAGTTTCTTCTGCTATTTATTAATTTTAAGACCTGCAAGCATCCAGTGTTCAACTTATACAAGTGTGATGTAGAAACTTGAATCGTCATCAGTGCACAGACACTGAGAAAGGACTTCACAGTGAAGTAGGAGACATTACGTGTCCAGCAGGAAAACTTTAGAAATGGACAAATTTTGCATATTTATAGATTCTGGAATTTGTAATGAGTTAGAAGGAGGAGATGCCTTTTTAAGGATTTTAATGTGAAATATTAGAAACATATCAGACACACATTATTGTTCCAAGCAGACTATTAATACATGTCTGGAGGAGATCTTTAATTACTGCGTTTGTTTTTGAATCAATCCATTTTTTTTAGTAACTATGGCGAATAACATCCCACTGAGGTTCATGTGGGTGTTTTTCCTTATTATCACACAATCGTTAATAATGTCTTGTGTCATTTTTTGTTCGAGTCATTTTGAAACCCCTTTGAAGCTGTGAGTTAATTTGTCTTGCATTAAAGTTACATTTGTGTTTTCCAGGGGTTGAAGCTCTCTTGTGTCACACTCCCCGCAGAAGAACTAAATTCATATTAACTTCACGTTTTCCCAAACAGAGATACAGCAGACTCAGAGAAAGAAGAAACCCCTCCAGCTGAAGCTGTACTTGAAGAAGATTTCGAGGAACCTCCAGAAAAACAAGATGTTGTGTCTGACCGGCGGGCGCAGAACAGAGTGGGCTCTGCACTTTGGGCTGTGATCAATCAGGTATTGTGTATATGTATGAATTATATTTATTTATTAATGTTAAGATCTATGTAGCATCTTTCAAAACAAAGTTACACAGTGATTCACACAGCGAATAAAAGTCAATAAAATCAAAAATATAAAATATAAAACAAGTTATTTACAGAATTACAACAGTCGCATAGAAGTCAAACAGTTCACGTAAAAGTTTATCCATACATTTCTCCCATCTTCACTTCAAATACGGTGCAAGTGAGGAAGAAAAGAATAGTACTTAGTTAAAGTATTCCTCTCAAATACAGTATATTGACATGCAACCTGCAGAGCACCTGTATGTAGTCAAGAAAAAAAAAGTCTGACCTGGAGGAAAATTCCAGTCTCTGAAAAATGGAAATACTCAAGTAAAGTCCCAGAACTTACAATAGAGTAAATGTACTTATTCCTGTGTTGTTGTAGATCACTTAGGAGAGTGTACACACAGCACACACACTGAGCATGGAGGCTTAACTTCACGGTTTCTCTACAGGTCCCCGACAGGCTGTGTGTGACAGCGCCCTCTGGTGATCGCTCCAGGTCCTACATCCACCCAAAGACTCGCCACCAAAACTCTGAACCCAGAGCAGCTCCAGCACTGGAGACGACAGAACAGGTTCTTCTGGAAAATATAACCTTAAAAATACAGCTTTCAATAACACTTTAATGCAATTCAATAGTCAGGAATGACAGAAATATGTGAACAAAACAAACACAGATTCTGACCTTTTGAAAGTCATACACCAATGAGAAGCAGAGCTGTTATCTCTATGTATTTTTCCTGTATATAATGAAGATGAAATACTCTTAGAATTGAATATACATGTTTGTTTTATGAGAAATATTATTTGTGATAAAAAATACAAAAATAAACATTTCTAGCAGACAAAATTTTATTAGAAAACTTACTTAGACTTCCTTAAATCTTTGAACTGAATCTCTGATTCCTGATGTTTTACAAGATTTGGGACCAGGCTGCTTAAATAAACCTCAAATTAAAGTTCCTAAAACTCTTTATAGAAAAGCTGATTGAAGAAAATTACAGCTTCACTTTACTTAGTTTCCGAATTCAAAGCACATCCCATCTTAATGAAAACTTTAAGATATGTTCGAGTTGTACAATTAAGTGGTTGCATCCTAGTTAATACAAAGCAAAATGTCAAAAATGACCTCATGCTTCTTTGGGTCTTCGTGCTGCAGCTTCCAGCTCTCTGATCCACATCACACATTCATAGAGCAGCACTGTGGTTCAGCTGGACCGCTGCCTGACTCTTTCTCTCTCTCACAGAAAGGTGTGTCTGAGGACAGAGATAAGGCCGAGCTCTCCTCGGCTGTCAGGGAGGAGCTGTCTGATTGGCAGCTCTCCTCTCTGAGATCAGCGGAGGACGAAGCAGCAGCTCTCGATCTCACCTTCAGTGGGACGCTGGATCAATCCGAGATCACCCGCCTGTTCCTCAAACATGACGTTCCTCTCAAATTACCAACATTTTCTCTGCTTCTCCAAATGTTTTCTGATAAAAATGATCCAATCCAGGTAAGGTGGCAATACTAGTCAGACAACACACTCATACAAGACAATTCTTTCTGTTTAGTATTGAGCCTGGAAGTCTTATTCTTAGCCTCACTACAGGTGGGGCTCCAAAACTTCAAACATCAATCAGTGTGATGATCAATGGTCAAGAGTAAAATATCTCGACAGCTACTGGATAGCAGTGCTGTGTATTGCAGAATCTGTCAATATCCCCATACAGGGGTTACAGTTCCATATATTGTGTTTAACTGTGAGCAAGGCGATGTATTGCGATTATTTTCTAAATCTAACTTTAGGAAACTGTCGCAGTAACACACCACCATATGCACAAAATCTGAGTTAAAAAACAAACCTTTTTATGCAGTGGTAAGACCGTACTTACCTACTTTCTGTGAAATTAAAGCAAAGAGAATATTTTGTAGGAAAAGGGAAAATAAAAGTGCTTTTAGGATTCTTTAAGTAAACAAATTAAAGCTACAATATGTAACATTTTCACATTAAACAGTGCATAAACTCTATCTCTATGCTCTATATGTAGTTGAGTTTTGTTCTTACATTATCCCAAATGTTCCCAACAATGTTTAAAGTCTGAGACATCTGTCATTTTATTTAGAAGCTGTCATACATTGACTGTTGATCCAGTGTGAAGCCACATTGTTACCATCCACTGTTTAGATCTTGGTGCTTTTTAACTCTAGATTTGAACCGGATGAAGGATTTTAGTCATCGGACGTCTGGATCTTAAGTTATCAGAGAAACAAGCTGAGCTAACGTTAGCAGCAGCTCGGCTCGCAGCCCCTCCGGGACGTCCTTTGTCTGTCCAACAGCGTGGGAGAAGCAGTGATTTTTAAGGTGGAACTGCTTTATTCAGTGTGTTTAGTGGTTTTAATCAGCGGGTCTGTTTGTGTTGGAGAGGAGGAGACCTCTGTGGATCATTGGGCTCCCGGTAGAAACCTCCTGAACCATGAACACTGAACATGCAGTGATTTTCTTGAAATAAATCCACCAAAAGGCTGAAGATAATTTATTTTAAGAGCAGCTGTTTCACCAGTCACTTCATTAACTTGACTCTCCTTGTGGGTGGATGTGTGAGAAACCTACCTCAAATAAACCACACTTGTTATCACTTGAAGCAGTATATGGCACTCATCTCAGAGGTAATCACTTTGTGTTGTTACAGATTCATTACAGAGATCTCCTGCAGTTCATAAGAAGTTCTGCATTCCCTGAGGAGCACCACAATGTCAGTGAGGTAAATCCAGTTTTAAGTGCAAGATAAAACAACATGCCAGATTCTGTATCCGCTCTATGCACACGATGTTCTCCTTTCACCTCTCCGCAGCTTCAGTGGAGCTGAACAAGGACGACGCTTATTCACGACCGTGGCATCACCAATCTGAACACGCAGCAAGAAACTGAGCCAAACTCATCTGCCGCACGGCTCAAAAGGGCTATAACTCAATATAATGTGATAGATTGTGTATGAGTGAGGCCGTTTGTCAACCTATATCATATATACGATTATTACACTGCATTCATTTGGCACGCATTTTGACTTGCTATTATTTTCTGCCGGCGGTGGCCTGCTGCTTATCAGGAGGGATTCAATGTGAAGTGTGTTGCTCAAGGAAACTGTGGCAGATGCACAGAGCGCACATACAGTACGTACAAACACGGTGAACAGAACGACCAACACGACACGCCACAGTTGTTTGCTTTTTTCTTTATTTTTTTGTAGCTTTTTTTTTTATATTTAAGATTTTTTCCCTTTTTTCTTGCTATCCCTGCTTTTGGCACTACATACTTAGGGTGACATGTTAGATTGTTTTTAAAACAAACGTCTATTCAAAGCCTTCATCTTGTGGCAAGCAAAGTATGAACACAGCTAATAAAAATAAAGGTTTACATTTTTCCTCCTTACTTTACACATAAAATAAAAACACTTTTTTGGACCCCCTCAAAAATGGGGGTATTAAAATATTTGACATTTGTATCACAAATCAATGTAATGAGACAAAAAGTAAAACATAAAAACTGTACAAAAATGATAAAATTCATTTTAAAAATTCTTGTGATCAAATGATGCAAAGAGTACATAATTTTGAATTTATGTTACTGACCATAAATCTAATTAAAAGGAGATGCCAGTTCACTTCTTCTGTTGGATGAAATTCAGATTTACTTGATGTCGGACATGTGGGACCAGTGGGAAGTTCGGATTCGGATGCACCACAGAACCTGACGACAGAAAAGAGAATCGCAACAGAAAGTCAGAGCCAGTACAAACGGAGAATAGTTGTGATCGATAAGACAAACACTGATGATGTCTGACCCTGGGTCACGAAGGGCTTGCCGGGCTGGTAGCCTCCGTTGCCCTGCTGGATGAAGTTCTGGGGCATCCGGTAGGGCCAGGATGGAGACAGGGCGTACTGTGGTGCTTTGTTGTGCTCCCATAGCCGAGAGCCTTGGCTCACACCTACATACTGGGCTGGGTGGCCCGACTCTGTAGAGACAACATCAAAACACACTCAGTAAGTATTATTGAGGATTTATTTTGACCCAACCGGAGTTGCTGCTTGTTGGATTGTTGGTTATTTTGAAACTGTGTTCTAGTGCAACATCTAGCGAATTCTGTATACATAAACCTTTAAAGATAGAGAAAGAGGAAGACACAAAGACGGTGCCACCAAAGTTCACACAGTGAATACCTGACTTGACTACAGTGCCATTTCCCATGAGTGACCCAGGTTGTGCCATGTGATTGTGCCAGTGTCCTTCCCGTCCTGGCCCGCCGATGCCCAGCTGTCTCCCCGCCGGCTGGGCGAAGATGATGCTGGGGTCGTTCAGGTTCATGGAGCTGGAGTTGCCCCCCGAGCCGGTGGGACTCCCGTTCCCTGACGCCGAACGCAGAGCGAATTTCAGGGCGGGCGGGGAGGGGGCGGTGGGAGAGGATGTGGTGAGGACCGGTCCGTGGATGGGCCAGGAGGTGGAAGGGATGTGGACTGGGTGATGAGGCTGCCCCTGGGAGTGGTGGGACTGGTGCTGGTGGGAGGGAAGAAGTCCCAGTGCGGTGAGCGCCCCTGGGTGGTACTGGCCTGGGTGGGAGGTCGGGAAGCTGAAGAGAGACAGGGGGACCTGGGGGTGAGCAGGCTGCTTGGGGGGACCAGCAGAACTGGTCTTACTGTGGGAGGGCTGAGGGGAACTGGAGGCCTGGGACGAACTCTGGGAGACAGCTGTAGGCTGCGGGGAGTAGGGCGGAGTCTGCCGACTGTCGGACTGTTGGGAAGAAAGACAGAATTAGAAGGAAGGAAGGAAGGATCAACTGACAGGTGCCTAGCATTGTAAAGTCTTCAGTGAAGAAAACAAAACAATCTTGTTCAACGTAATTTTTCCGTGTCTGTGGAATAAATTCCGCTGTAATGTCCAACTATTGTACTCACACATTCAGAGGGCTGTCTGGTCCTTCCAGGGCAGTCTGTAGCTGTCTGGGGAATGGGGATGGACTGGGAGCTCACTATAGTTCGTACCATGTGCGGAGCTGGTGGAAGAATAAAGAGCCATATGAGCAGTTTTATTTAGTCAGTATTTAAGACAGCTTTTAAAACTATAAATTAATGTTTCAAAATAAGTGCATCTGTAACGAGAATTACAGAAATACTATGAGGAATATGATAAAGAAATGTTTTGTGTGAAGTTAAGAGACCTGGCGCTCCAGCGGTCCTCTGTTTGAGGTGGCGGTACTCAGGGCAGTCCCTCCGTACGTGGCCCATGTCCCCGCACTGGAAGCAACGTCTGTCCTTCGGTTCACGCTCCTCCTCTTTTATGTCCTCGTCTTTGTCGTTTTCCTTCTTCTTAATCCTGGCAGAGAAAGTCCAGTGTTCAGCATAAAAGGGATGAATATTAATAATAATGACATGTTCAGTACAAACAAACACGTAAATGAAGACAAATCACAAAAGGTATGTGCTCAAACTACCCAGACATACTGTAACTTACAAAAACATAAAAGTTCTGATTTTTAATTGAAATAATAAAGATTTCAACACAATTCCTATATAGTAACTGTACTTCGTGTAACAATTAAATCGTGATACAATGTTGTTTTCTGTAGCGGACGGATGTTATACTATACGCATTATTTTACCACTTTATACCCCACCTCAGAAATAAAGGGATTAATAATAATATATTTCTTAGATTTGTGTCTGACAAATAAAGGAATCTTTTTCCAAATTCCCTTCAACAGCCTGGTGTTGTAAATAAAAAATAACTTTGATTCTTGAAAAAGAAAGCTACTGAGCAGCTTAACCTAACTTACCCTATGTTACTCAGCTGCAGCGTCAGGGGTAAGTAATTATCCTTCCTGTCGCTGGTCTACTCGTTTCTCAACCCTGTCGTCTGTTCTTTGTTCCCACTTCGATAACTGTTAGAGGTTCTATAAGTTTCTTAGTTTCTCTTTCCTTAGCCCTTAACAGCCTCTTGTTCCGTGTCTCTATATTGGAGGTTGTATTTTTGGTGTTTGTTGGAAGTAATAATGCTGACAGCTTAAAATAAAAATCACTAAAGCTCATTTTGGATATATTGGAGGACATTACTGTGTATTAACTTAAATCAAAATAACTAATAACTTTAATAACTTAAAATTTTCTACTAAACTACTACTAAAAGTCTGGTTGTTATTAAAAAGAAATTAACTTATTAATTCATTACTGTGTTTCTATTCCCAGCTGCTGTATGATGGACACTGAAAGCTACAATGATGCAATATACTTCAAAATACATAAATATAAAGTGGAACAGGCTGTTTCTTAAGTAACTCATTTGGTAATAATGACATTTAATGAACCTGCTCTAGGAGGCATCCATCGAAACTTTAGTTAAACTTTACGTCACTGTTGCCCTATCAGCCATATGCTTGTTTTTTTGTATTGCTCCCTTATATGTATAAAACAGCAGTACTGCTTTGGAAAAAAATGCTCATATACATTTTAAATATACTTTACATTGCGAGAAAAAACAAAAGTAGAATTTATAACACATTTATTACTTCTCAGTAGTTTCTTTTAGTTTTTCTTGGATTTCTACCGGGGTGAGAGAAATATTTCCATGTACGGAGAGGGGACAACCTGCGTCTCTTTGGACAGTCCTTCATGTAATGTCCAATCTTCCCGCAGATCCTGCAGCACCGGTCATTGGGCGCCAACTCGCCGTCTGTCAACACCTTCGAGTCAAAGAAGTAGTCCTGCAGCAGAACACAAGAAAATTAACGGGGTCCTGGCAGCAGACAGCATTCAAATACATAACCTTTTGTCCAACTTGGTTGATTCATGAGTGACGTACCACTTCAGTGCCGGGGACGGGGTAGAACGGAGTTCCAAACAACTTTCTCCCATTAATAAAGGCCTTCATGATGAAGTTTGTCACTAGAGGAAGCAAAGAAGAAACATTTTCAGTCTTAGAAGCGGCTGAGATTTAATTCATTCCAATATCAAACTAAATAATGAACTGAAAAAAAAGGCTTGAAAGGACTAGTGCGTAGGATTTAGTGGCATCTAGCAGTGAGATTGCATATTCCAATCAACTGAAACCCCTTGACTTAATCAAGCATAGAGGTGAAACTATGGGGGCCACTAAACTCCCCAAAAATGGTCCTATCTATAGCCAGTGTTTGGTTTGTCTCTTCTGGGCTACTGTACAAACACGGCGGTTCAACATGCCAGACTCTGTAGAAGAGGACACGCTCCCTCTGCAGATAGAAACAGCTCGTTCTAAGGTAACGAAAACAGAACGATTCTTCATTTCAGGTGACTATACACTAATGAAAACAAACCTATGTTAATAACATTATTATTATTACTAATATTATATTCCATTCCTGCTAATAGAAGTGCCAGAGAGCAGGTGTATTTAGTAAAAGAAGAAAACATCTCTGACTCTATAACACAACAGAACATACCAACAATCCCAAACCTTTTTATATTTATAAAACAAATTGCCTTTTTGAATATTTTATACCAGAAATATTAGAATGATGCTGTCTTGTTCAAAAAACATACTTGTTTTTTAATTAAGGACGTCAGACTAAAGCACTTACTTTTGCGGGAAACTCCAGCGCCAAGATTGTGATTTAAATCGAAGGGATCTGAGGAGAAGGAGAGATGAGTGAGTAGAAGTGAAGACCTAACGTTAAGAAGCAGGTAAAGACCAAAAGGGATAAAGCAGATCCGTGTGAGCACCTTCAATAGCGATGCATTTACTGGTCCACTGTTTCTCGAAGGTAGTGAGGCGTTTGGTTTGGCGGATGCTGATGACGTGTTCTTTGAAGTCAAATTCTTCTGTATAAAAGCGCAGGAGTCCCAACCACAGCTCTCCCACCGACTCAGTGTTCGGCTGCAGCTCTGAGAGAAGCCGACGCTGTGTGGACAGAAGAAACAGACATACGGCCTTAAATTCTGCAGTGTCAAATAATGCAATACTGCCCAGACAAAAAGGACTCGGAGGAGTGCAAGTTGGGGTTTTTATCCATTAAACTCACCAGGTCCTCAAGGTCATCACAAAAGAAAGCATTCCAGCCATCTACCATCCGCTGGGGCACAGTCGTCCCATCAAAGATCTGAAAAGACATCATACGGAGCTGTTCATATTATTTCATTCAAAGCCAAGCAGACAGAGAGCTCATTAGTTCGCTATTTAAAGGGTGTGGTCAGTAATTAGTGACTGGTACCTCCTGCAGGACGGGAATGACTGGCGGCTGCCTCTGCTGCAGGAAGTAGAGCACCATCAGGATGTATGCGTAAGACGAGAGGCTTCCTCTGGACGCGTCCCCAATGTCACACCGCTGTGAGCACAGAGGCAGGTTAGTTAGCAAGAGGCAACACACTAACAATTCAGCGCCTTCAAGTGCTCCTTAGACACATATTTGGTAGGTAGAGTGTATGAGCGATCAAGCACATCATTCATTTGTATTTCAACTCTGAGCCAGCATCACTGAGGAGTGAAGTCTGCTTTATCCAACTGGTATGTCACAGTGCTCTGACTACATCTGTACATCACTACAGCGAGGTGAGAAGTTAAAGCGGAGGTCAGCAAAGACAAGATTCTCAACTCTTCCTCTTTAAGTTCAAACGTGGTGGAGATCTGTTTTCAATCATT